CCCCAATTCCCTAATCGCTTAATTATTTAACTACTTCTTAAGTAGAAATATGTCGAAACCGGTTACTTTGTACTAGAATATTTGTAGTCTCGAGGAAAAAGTGGAAAGACAAATTTTTATGACAAACGGATACATAAATCGTAAATTTAAGGAAAATAAATTCTAGAGCATTTTCTGTACCTGGTGCATCTCTCTCATTCATTAAATTTAGTTGTAAATGATGCTACCAAAGTAACGGTTAATTTTTTAACATTATACAAGAATTGTACGCGTTTTTTTCTACATCCCCTTAAAGACGGCATATACGAAATCGTAATATCACTGGCTTAACATCGAAATCCGTGAGTAATATAAAATTGGAGAGCGGAATAAATATATCAAATATTTTAATGGATTTTTTTTAACTCCTGTCAACTATACAGAACTATCGTAAAAACATACCAGTAAATTCTTGTCGGTCGGGTTAAGTTATAAATCTACTCGTTATTCACGTAATCGAAATATCTAGTGGGCGGGCGGCTAACAGCCCAGAACCGGTCCTTGATAGAATTGGAATCGTTATATATGTGCAGCTTCCACCCAAGGTCGTAGACTTCCGCCGGCTAAACCGGGCGAGGTTGGTGCTCTGTAAAGCGCGTGCGCAAATCTTGCTTTTCGTAATCTGAAAATACAGGAGTTTCCACTCCGCCACTAATATTCGAATATACAAAAGTAATTTTTTTTCACGTGTAGTATAAAAATTTGTAATAAGATACATAATGCGGTTATAATAAAATATTGTGCGATTATTTTCATATAATTAAAATTAATATTTATTTATTTTTTAGAAAATACGAGGGAAGCGGCGCTTCCACCGCTTCTAATGACGGCACGCCACTGCCACTGGCTCAGTTTGGAAATGAACGCGAAAGTAATTGCTTGTGTGCCCCTCCTCCATCGTCGCTATAAAAAACGATGGCAGAGGCAAAGAGAATTTTGGGTGCACCCAATATTACCAGATAGACTGACGCGTGGAATGTTTGCGACGTTGCATCCAAAACTAAGACAAAATAAACCCAAGTTTTTTAATTTTTTTTAAAATATCTATAAAATCCTTTGACAATGGTTGGTCTCTTTTAGATTTCATCAATAAATAGATCAGTATCGAAACGATCGTTCTCCATTTCGGCCAACGTACGTCCACTCTACTCGAAAACGCGCGATCGAATGTACAGTAACATGGCAGCACATATATCTGAAAGCGCTCGGCTGACGTCCGTAAAACGCGCGTTTTAACAAAAATCTATAAACGCGCGTTTGAGTATGTATGCCTATGCAGAACTCTTGGTTCTTTAAAACGCGCGTTTAAAAACGCCTAGTGTGTACACAGCCTTAGTCTTCGTTTTTATAATTGCCACTTGATCCCATTGCACGTCAATATCTTGTTGGTTTGCGTATGATGCCAACACAGTGCTATCAAGGTTCCTATTGATTGTATATTTGTGTTCCATGAGCCTTTGCTTTAGACCGCGCATCGTCGCACCCAATTAAACTAACCTGGAATCGAAACGTTGGTCATGTAAAGGCACCTTTTGGTGAATGGGGCCTTTCCAATGTCCATTCATCGGATACGTTTGCCCATAGGATGTGATTCGTTATTGCCGAAACTAAAGCATCTTTGCCTTGGAAAAGCTATTAGGTATGCAAGACGTAGAGCATACGCTTTTTTATATAAGCTTATAAAAATGGAGGATGATCTTTACGAACAGGACCCTAATCTACTAACATATGTCAATGAAAGAGTAGTTAAATTATCACAATCTTACGAAAGAAATTTAAAGCGTACGTACGTCAAAAAGATTAAATGGACATTCCGTTGCCAAAATATTAGACCACATTAAGTATCACAGCGTGGGACAACATTGTACCTCCGCAATGTCTTTTGGACACTCTTTTTCGGTCTTCTTTATGTTCCGGCTCCATTACCACAACCAGAGATCCTCATTCCGGATATTGAGCTCATCATTAAGGATATGAATAGCGCAGATCAAGATTTTATTCGATGGAAAACCAGATTCCGCACAGCGCAAGAAGTTTTCACCTTAGATTGAAGAAATCACGCCAATGGTTACTACACAATAAAGTGATACTCACCAAGGCGGATAAATCGAAAGAGGTTTTACTAAAACGTTCTACTTACAACGAGAGGCTAAAGGAATATATTACAGCACGGAATGCCAATCTGCACCCGTCAATTTCTTGGATACTTTACAACATAGAGTTAAAAGATTTACCTCCTCTGCTTTAGCGCGGCATTTGCACATGCAGAATTCCACGATTTTCGCTCCAAGAACACCTAAATTATTTGCGTTTCGAAAACGCATAAACCGGGTAACCAGCTACGTCCAGTCATTGATAAATGTGGCTCCCCAACATTCTTGATTGAAAAGCAGTTAGTCAACTTCTTTCGTGCTACAGACTGACTACATTTCTCTTATGGACAAGGAATGTTTGACCGTATTCGACTACAAATCCTTGTACCCTTCGATAAAATTGCCTCCTTGCTTCTGTGCCGTCAGGGATTTTTTATTTACCAATATAGAAAATGCTCCATATTATCATGTTCATATTCTGGAATTAGCGCATTTAATTTGTTACACATCGTTTTTTTGAGTTTGAAGGAAATGTCTTCTTACAAGGAAGAGGCGTACTTATGGGTAGTCCTACATCTGCAATCCTTTGCGAATTGGTTTTGCTTCAACTTGAAAACTCCATTCTACCCGAATTCCAACAGTAAATCGTTTTGTACGCTAGATATATTGATGACATTTTCATACTTTGGAGTGAAGAACCTAAACTACAATATTTTTTAAACAAGATCAACAATAACTCTTACGGTTTAACATTGCAGCTTGACCAGAAGAGTGACTAGTGATAACTTCCTAGACATTTCCATTACGTGCAAGCAAGGGGAGATCTGGATCGATATTTACCGTAAACCCTGCTTTCAACCCGTTTTCATCCCACGCCAAACAGTCGATCCCAAGCATATCAAATTAGCGGTTTTCAGATAATGGATTAAACGTGCTTATACGCATTGTACAAGTTTCTGCGATACGATAAGAGAGCTGGAGTACATTCTTAAGATAACCCAACTACACGGATATCCAAAAAAAGAGATAGAGCATCGAATTTCATCCTTCCAATCCACTGCACGGCATTCTCCCAGGGTTGATCGTAATAAACGAATAGTGCTTAATTACATCCCATTTTTTGAACAAGATACACAAATCTACTGCCAAGTCTAATAACTTTCACATTGTATACCGGCGCAATCCCACTATTTTCAAACTTTTAAGAAACGATAAAAAGAAAGAGGATCGGAATTCAACAACGGGTATATATTCGGTGCCTTTACATGACCAACGTTTGGATTCCAGGCTAGTTTACGTGGGTGCGACGATGCGCGGTCTAAAGCAAAGGCTCAAGGAACACAAATATACAATCAATAGGAACCTTAATAGCACTGTGTTGGCGTCATACGCAAACCAACAAGATATTGACGTGCAATGGGATCAAGCGGCAATTATAAAAACGATCAAACATGTAGAGAGATTGGAAATGTATAAAGCGCACATGAAAACCGGTTGTTTAAACCATAGAGATGCCGACGCATTGTCTACTGCGTGGAGGTCCTTTTACAATTATTAATTTTCACTATTTATTTGATTTATTTGTTAATTTTTATTTTTTGTATTTATTTCGAACGCATTTTATGTTCTATATTTAATATTCTATTTTTGGTAACTGAAGATGATCGTTGAGAAACGATTGAAAAGGTTTTTATTTTATTAAATTTTGCTGGATTTATATTGGTGTAGTTTATTTTACGATTTTCTGTAATTCCAATTCAGTAAATACATTGGGTTGCAGATCAGTAATAATTTATAGAAACAAACACTGTTCTGAGCTATCTGAAGCTAGGTAAATATCCTTCTGAGTTTGCTACGTTCATTTTAGTATCCATATAATAGAAAACTATAATTTTCCTATTCTTGGCAATTTTATGTTTTCTCATTTTGTTGGTCCTTCTAGCAGCTTTATAGTCTTCAATCCTGATTTTCCAGCTGAAGATCCTACAAACTATTTTTCAGCAAGTGCCCAGGTACTCCATTAGATGCAGGACTTATTGCCCCAGGTGATGAATGATCTGGTATAGGATTTGTTATGCATGTTTGTACTATCGTTATTGGGTTTTGGCCATATTTAGTCTGGTTCTTCATTACAGGCTTGTCTAGTTCTCCAATTCAGTCCTCTAAATCATTAGAATGCAGAAGCCCCACCATTTCAATAGGGTAGTTAATATCTGTTGGGGAGATAAATATAAAAATTGAAATAACAACTTTATTGATAAATTTTACTATTGTAGAATTTGATCTGAGTGATTGATTAGTAAATGCAAGACACTAACACATTTTAGATTGTATGGCACAGCAATATTGTCTGCTATGGGTGGACCTGACTCAAAATAATCAACCAGTATGCATGAGGAATGGTACTATCCACGAGAAATCATGGAATCAGACTTGGACTGAACCAGGATTTCTTCTTACAATAGTTGAGCTGATTGTCAATAATGTCAGCAAGATGGATGCATTGTGTTATATTAGTTGAAAATAATAATACTTTTTTACTCAATCAGTAATATACATGTAGAGCTTACACTTTAAATTACAATTGCAGTAGATTCTTGCTTTATGATATTCACTTTATACTAGTTATAAAGTCGGGAATGTAAACTACATTTTAACTGTATCGAATATACATTGAGATGGCCAATAGAAGGTTAGTGTTAAAATATTTCCAGGAATGTAATCTTAACTTATAACATTGAATCTATAGGAAATATGACTATTTGTTTTACAAGAATCAGTTTGATCATAAAAGCAAGGTCTACTATATTTATTACAATTTATGTTATTGTATAAATTAAATGTAATAACCTTAAAAAATTTTTTTAGCATACTTTGTTATCATCATTTTCTACTTTTGTACAAAGCGTAGAGGACATCAACATAGCACAAATTCTTCAAAAACTGGGTTGCTTGTATGGCTTATGGAGGTTACAGAATTATATGGGAATATTATATGAAGGTAAATATCATACATTTATACATAGTTAATTTATGACAGTAGATATATACTTGCCAACCGTCAGTGCTTTGTATGCCCTGTCAGTGGACAGGCTACTTTTCCCCTTTGTCAGCATTTTTAAATAATTTGATATAAACAGTTCATTTAATGAGTCTAATACAAGATCCTCAGCATATACTATATATTGGTAGGTATTTCACTAAAAACAACTGAAGTGAACTGGAATGACCTTCTCAGATTCATTCAATTGGATTGGAAAAGAACCAAGATTCAAATTTTTATATATGTAAGTTGGTATAAGTATGAAAATTTTAGCTCAAATATGATAATATTAAATGGCAGATATGCATCTTTAAGTCTGGCAACGTTAGTGCCCTTACATGATAGTTCAATCAATTATGGCCAACTCATCATCGGAAAGAAACTGGTTACTTTTATAGTTAGACCAAATTATTGAGCAGGGCTACAGTTTCTCCACCCAAAAAAGAAGAAACATCTGATTCATCACTTAAGAATATACAGACTATATCATACGAACTCTCTCAAGAAAAGAAACCAGATTGTTCTTTGAGATTTACTATTTTATAAGGATAACAAATCTTTGTAAAATCTCACAAATAGGCTGATGATGTTTTCCACATGGCATTGCAGGGCCTCTCATGAATTGCAGTGTGGCAAGTGAAAAGATATTTTGTATGATAAGAAAAAGTAAGATAGATAGGAAATAAATCCCAACCAGAAAAATCATTGTCCTTAATAACTGCAGTGAAAATCAATAAATTGACTGATAGCAACTGTCACGAGTACACTAATAGCAACAAAGCAAACCATAGCACAAATGCTTATAGCAAGATGCACTCATCATGCAATAATATCAAGACTCCTGACAGATCAAGATGGAGTAACTCATAAAAGGGACATCAAAGGTTCAAAATACTTGACCCTTTTAAAATTATTTAATAAAATTGAAGACAGTCTGCCCAATAAAGGACCTCCATTTATTATTTCCGTGTTCCAGACAATACACATTCTTGGCAACAGACCTTTCCTTTTAGGCTACTTGCTGCCAGAAGTTTAAAAAGTCCTCTTAAAAAACACAGAAATATATCCAATTAAAATTACAAAAATTTCTAAAAAGGAACTGGTGACATTCAGACGTCTTTCTTGCATCCATCATACCTTCGTTTGGGGTAATATTGCTTTTATCTACTAATAAGAAGTGCTGGAATATGTAGATTTAATGAAAGCTGCCCCTGGTGACCATACCTGTAGATTTTCATCTGTAAATTTTTTCGTCCGATGGAGATTATTTTTTAATAAAATAATATTTTTGTGTTTTTTAAAAGGACTTTTTAAACTTCTGGCAACAAGTAGCCTAAAAGGAAAGGTCTGTTGCCAAGAATGTGTATTGTCTGGAACACGGAAATAATAAATGGAGGTCCTTTATTGGGCAGACTGTCTTCAATTTTATTAAAAAATAATCTCCATCGGACGAAAAAATTTACTTTTTAAAATTGTGATGTTAAAGAGTATAAAGCTTCTGCCACACTCTTGACTATGTCTATAGCAATAGCTTTATAAAATATTATATGCAGAGAGAAATTACATTTTGTTTATTAAAAGTATTTAATAATCATTGTTAATAAAGAATTTTTTCACTTTTTATGCTGTCAGCATTTTTATTCAAAAATCAGTATCCCAGGTATTTATTATTTTTTTGTAACACACATATGCATGTTTTTTTATGCCATGCCCTGTGTTAATGGTCTTGTCGGTCTCCCATTGCAAGTCACAATGTTTTGTCTGTGAGTGTCCCTTCTGTAACTTGGGCATCTATTCTGTTTGTTATTGTCTATTCTGTATTGTTTATTGTCTTGTCATAAGGAACTTTGTCGGTTCTCCCATTGCAAGTACAATGGGTATTGTAAATATGATATGTTTGAGTGCCAATTGTTTAGGGCACTTCTGTAATTCTTTACTACTGTTCCACAAGTGAATGTAAATTTTTAATTTTGTTTTAAATAAAAGCGATACAGGTGCCTAAGGATAGGAAAGGGGAAGACTTCCGTTTCATCCCCTTTCCTATCCTTTATAATTTCACCTTCAGCCTCTTCCTCTAAATCATCTTTCTTCTCCATTTTCATCCCAGGCAGTACCTTTGAGTAGCCCTGGTTTCATCCCCTATCTGCTATAAGTAAAAGCTATTTATTCCTCATACTAAAGGTGTGCAAGTATGTAGATACTTTACTGAATTTAGTTATTAATAAAAGAAGTTGCTGTATTCAAAGTGGCAACAGCCATCAATTATTAAACTAACCTTAATATAACCTGACAGATTGTTTGACATAATTAAAATCAGGCTATTGCATCTGTTGTTATGCCTTGCTGGAGAAAGCATAAGCTGGCTCAGAGCCATAGAGGGCTGTGGCACCAAAATTACTGTTGTGAGGTTTAAAATTATTCTATTATTATTATATACAAAAATACATGATACACCTCTTAAAAATATCTGAATATTTAGAAAATAAAAGGTCTACAATATTAATCTCTAATATACATATGATTAAAACCTATCATGAATAGGTTTTCGTGAATTCATCCATAATAGATGATCAGATGAATAAAAAAAATGATTAGACAATAATCCAATAATAATTAAAATCCAAAGTAAGATGAAACAGAACTGAAAATTTTGTATAAAATATAGCTTCTACCAATCAATTATTTAATTTACAAACTGGCTTATTCTTTGATTTGATATTGAACTATGCTGCAATGTCACACTTGTAGTATTAACTCACTCAGAATTAATTTAGCAGTTCATAACATTATTATTACAAAACATAACATTAAGTATTTAATTAATAAGAGAATAATAAAAGTTTATTCTCTCTACAAAATAGATAAACAGAAAGAAATCATCCCTCTCTTATAAATCCACTGACATGACATGCATTTTGTGTTGCTACTCACTTCAAATGAAAAATTTATAAGTATTATAACTGTTTATGATATAAAAACAGTGAATGTTTGTCATTCAGGAAACCTAAAGGCTAATATTTATCTGATCTGTACTTATTTTTCAATGTATATACTAGGCTTTAACTTGTATCATTACTTTTAAATTATCAGAAATATTTTTATTTAAAGAACACTCATTAGATATTTGCATAAAAAATAACAGTATTAATGGATACTTAATAATTACAATAAATTGTTGTCTATTTATACATTTCTTCTGAAGATATTCTAAAATCACAACTCAAATGATATCTTGATAAATAAAATAATAGTAGCAATTATGATATAAGATTTCTAACTTTTAAAATATTTTCTTAATAAAATTTCCTGATGTTTAAACTTGCAAAGAAACAGTTTTAATGTAATTATTGTATTTAACTTGTTTTTACATTACATTCAAAGTATATAAATTCTTGCATTCCATAATTGGAACTCAACTTATCCAAAACCTGAAGCAGATCTTGATTAAGATTGAAAATGTTAGCTCGTTTATGCTTACCAGAAGTAAAGATTTAAAAGTGTTGTTCATCTGAATCCTTGATGAACGTGACCTCAATTCTTTCATTTATAATTTTTGATTATTCAACAACATTCTAATACAGTAGACACTTTCTAATCTGGCGTACCCCATTAAAATATCTTTCTCTTATGTTCATTACTGTTTAAAATACATATAGTAAATTTATAGTTTTGTAAATAAAATGTAGAATAATATAGAAAAGAAAGTAAAATGGAAATATTAATTCTGATATCAATTGTGAATAACCAGAGAAATGAAATAAAATTCGTGTGATTTTAAAACGTGGGCAATATACTGAATTTTTACATTCGCCACAAATATGTTGATTGAATCACTAATATTTTTTATTCCGTTCTCAAGAATAAATGGAAAAAATTACAGCGACTACAAATAAGTTATTATTTAAAAAGAGAGAAATAAGGGTGTTAATTTATTATTTCTAACATAAAAACTTCACAATATCGAGTTTTATTTGCGAAATTTCTGTGAAATATTTTGTATAGACTCTACTACATCGAAGAAATCACAAGAAATAATATTGTTAGTTGTATTGTGTCATTCTACTACACCAATATTGCTAACTTTTTAAAAAATTGTAATAATGTAATTGGATAATATAGCTTAAACGAAGTTCATATTAATAAAAAATATATTAAAATATAAATAATAAATAAAAAATTATGATTAATACTCGATTATTTNTTTAAGAGAAATCAAAGAAGATAGGGAATAGCATATAGTGAAATATGCAAGATCATCCCTCGTTCGAGAATAACTTGTGAATATAAATAAGGGAAAGAACAAGATCATCCCTCGTTCGAGAATAACTTGTGAATATAAATAAGGGAAAGAACACGATCACAATTCCACTTTTCAACACATGTTAATATTTATAAAGAATTAAACTTCCACTTACTGTATTCCTCTGCATAATTTCACAACAAAATACAGCTCCAAAAAGAATCAGTACAGAAGGGTGACCTACAGGCCATGTCATTCATTGCTTTTAGTCCTATATACTATGCACTCTCACTAATCCAGCATTTCTCTGTGCAAGGAATGGCCAGATTAGCAAGTGTCTACTGTATACAGTGGGAAATGAGTTCCTACTTCAAACTTGATGGGATCATATGTCTTTCGGATAATCCAGAAACTCTTTTCTTTTGTGTACATACACAAAAGCACTGTATTTAAAGTAAATTAATTTACTCAAACTCTAATATAATATTATGTATGTGTAGCCAACCTAGTTCTCTGGCACTACAATTGACAGATGACATAAGTTCCATTTACATGGACAGTTGGTCTCTGTAGTATGCACAATGGCTACACATTCCAATATTTTTTTGAAAACCATTTTGTATAATTATGTATATACAACAATGAATTTTACTGTTTTTGTCAAATAATTATCACCCAAACCCCAAAATAGAACCTTTTTAGCTGTATTCATTAATTT